TCGGTGTGTGTAACTGTGTGTGTTCTCTCGGTGTGTGTAACTGTGTGTGTTCTCTCGGTGTGTGTAACTGTGTGAGTTCTGTCGGTGTGTGTAACTGTGTGAGTTCTCTCGGTGTGTGTAACTGTGTGAGTTCTCTCGGTGTGTGTAACTGTGTGTGTTCTCTCGGTGTGTGTAACTGTGTGTGTTCTCTCGGTGTGTGTAACTGTGTGTGTTCTCTCGGTGTGTGTAACTGTGTGAGTTCTGTCGGTGTGTGTAACTGTGTGTGTTCTCTCGGTGTGTGTAACTGTGTGTGTTCTCTCGGTGTGTGTAACTGTGTGAGTTCTCTCGGTGTGTGTAACTGTGTGAGTTCTCTCGGTGTGTGTAACTGTGTGTGTTCTCTCGGTGTGTGTAACTGTGTGTGTTCTCTCGGTGTGTGTAACTGTGTGTGTTCTCTCGGTGTGTGTAACTGTGTGAGTTCTCTCGGTGTGTGTAACTGTGTGAGTTCTGTCGGTGTGTGTAACTGTGTGAGTTCTGTCGGTGTGTGTAACTGTGTGTGTTCTCTCGGTGTGTGTAACTGTGTGAGTTCTCTCGGTGTGTGTAACTGTGTGAGTTCTCTCGGTGTGTGTAACTGTGTGAGTTCTCTCGGTGTGTGTAACTGTGTGTGTTCTCTCGGTGTGTGTAACTGTGTGTGTTCTCTCGGTGTGTGTAACTGTGTGAGTTCTCTCGGTGTGTGTAACTGTGTGAGTTCTCTCGGTGTGTGTAACTGTGTGAGTTCTCTCGGTGTGTGTAACTGTGTGTGTTCTCTCGGTGTGTGTAACTGTGTGAGTTCTCTCGGTGTGTGTAACTGTGTGAGTTCTCTCGTGTGGGTAACTGTGTGAGTTCTGTCGGTGTGTGTAACTGTGTGAGTTCTGTCGGTGTGTGTAACTGTGTGAGTTCTCTCGGTGTGTGTAACTGTGTGAGTTCTCTCGGTGTGTGTAACTGTGTGTGTTCTCTCGGTGTGTGTAACTGTGTGAGTTCTCTCGGTGTGTGTAACTGTGTGTGTTCTCTCGGTGTGTGTAACTGTGTGAGTTCTCTCGGTGTGTGTAACTGTGTGAGTTCTCTCGGTGTGTGTAACTGTGTGTGTTCTCTCGGTGTGTGTAACTGTGTGTGTTCTCTCGGTGTGTGTAACTGTGTGAGTTCTCTCGGTGTGTGTAACTGTGTGTGTTCTCTCGGTGTGTGTGTAACTGTGTGAGTTCTCTCGGTGTGTGTAACTGTGTGAGTTCTCTCGGTGTGTGTAACTGTGTGTGTTCTCTCGGTGTGTGTAACTGTGTGAGTTCTCTCGGTGTGTGTAACTGTGTGTGTTCTCTCGGTGTGTGTAACTGTGTGAGTTCTCTCGGTGTGTGTAACTGTGTGAGTTCTCTCGGTGTGTGTAACTGTGTGTGTTCTCTCGGTGTGTGTAACTGTGTGAGTTCTCTCGGTGTGTGTAACTGTGTGTGTTCTCTCGATGTGTGTAACTGTGTGAGTTCTCTCGGTGTGTGTAACTGTGTGTGTTCTCTCGGTGTGTGTGTAACTGTGTGAGTTCTCTCGGTGTGTGTAACTGTGTGAGTTCTCTCGGTGTGTGTAACTGTGTGTGTTCTCTCGGTGTGTGTAACTGTGTGAGTTCTCTCGGTGTGTGTAACTGTGTGTGTTCTCTCGGTGTGTGTAACTGTGTGAGTTCTCTCGGTGTGTGTAACTGTGTGAGTTCTCTCGGTGTGTGTAACTGTGTGTGTTCTCTCGGTGTGTGTAACTGTGTGAGTTCTCTCGGTGTGTGTAACTGTGTGTGTTCTCTCGGTGTGTGTAACTGTGTGAGTTCTCTCGGTGTGTGTAACTGTGTGTGTTCTCTCGGTGTGTGTAACTGTGTGTGTTCTCTCGGTGTGTGTAACTGTGTGTGTTCTCTCGGTGTGTGTAACTGTGTGTGTTCTCTCGGTGTGTGTAACTGTGTGAGTTCTCTCGGTGTGTGTAACTGTGTGTGTTCTCTCGGTGTGTGTAACTGTGTGAGTTCTCTCGGTGTGTGTAACTGTGTGAGTTCTCTCGGTGTGTGTAACTGTGTGAGTTCTCTCGGTGTGTGTAACTGTGTGTGTTCTCTCGGTGTGTGTAACTGTGTGAGTTCTCTCGGTGTGTGTAACTGTGTGTGTTCTCTCGGTGTGTGTAACTGTGTGAGTTCTCTCGGTGTGTGTAACTGTGTGAGTTCTCTCGGTGTGTGTAACTGTGTGTGTTCTCTCGGTGTGTGTAACTGTGTGAGTTCTCTCGGTGTGTGTAACTGTGTGTGTTCTCTCGGTGTGTGTAACTGTGTGAGTTCTCTCGGTGTGTGTAACTGTGTGTGTTCTCTCGGTGTGTGTAACTGTGTGACTCCACCCTGTAAAGCAACAGCGCTGTGAATGGCGGAGCTGTCGGGTGAACTGTAGAGTACTGTGAGTGATTCTCTTCAGAAAACCACTGCTCTATTTCTGACTGCTATAATAACTGCAGCCTGACCTCTAGTTGCCTTTGTGGATGTCAGTTTACAGCTTAAAAAAGCATGATCTCATTTTAAACGGTTCTGCTGATGCCATGAGCACTCCAGGGTTTCAGGGTCTTGTTCATCTGGAATATGGTGAAACTAACGGTGATCTTCCTCAGATAGATCTACACATGCACATATTCATGAATACTGTCAAATGAAAGATCGGAAAGAAATAGCTGATGAAATATCATAGCTGATTAAATTTTATCTGCTGTTGATAAACGTTTTTATTCATTTGTCCAATAATATTTAACTAATTAAATATACTAACTTCCTTGATATATAGTTTTGATAAAGACAATTCTTTAAATGTTTTTGCTATTTAAGTGGTGCAGTCAATGCCAAGGTTACACATGGTCTGAAACAGAGCTGATAATCCTAAAAAGTAATAAACCATTTTAAAATGAAAAAAAAAAAAAAAATCTAAAAATATACATGTCTGAAGTTAGCACCAGATAATGATTAAATCTAATAAAAAAGATGTGGTAACCATGTAGTCCACAGTCAATACACGTCAGAATGCTACGAAGACATGAATGCTTTTTACAAGTATAAGAACCACATAATTCCAACAGTACATCAACGCACCATTAATGCCATAAAAGTCGGACAAAAACAGATGATTTTTTTTGTGCGCCTCTAACTACAGCAGTGTGGTGTCTGGGATAAGTATATCTGCCACACCAGGGGTGCAGCTCCGGTCTGATGAGAGGAGGGGTCAAAACTGAGTGTGTGCCGATTATAGGTCATATCAAACACATTCTGATGCAAAAAAGTCCAAATGTTTTTATTTTTATCATTTTGAATTTGTCAGGAATTTTATAAATAGGGAAAATTGTGTCAAGTTGTCACAAGGCCTTCATCCAGGAACCCGCATTGTGTTGCTTAAATCTGCTGACAAGAATAACAAAGCCTGAACTCAACAGACACGAGCACTGAACAGAGACAGTGAGTGGTTCAAACAGATATAAGATGTCAAGACAAAACATCTCAAACATGACACAGCCCTTCTTAAATTTTCTTTAAATTCATTTTCTGATTTTTTTTTTTTAATGTTACATATTTATCTCGGTTATTTACATTCTGGTTCAAAGAATACCTTTGTGCATAATGGTCGAGGTGTTTTGTTTGGAAATGAGGATTACTGGAAACCGGCAGGAGGGATTTCAGATCAGTTTTCAGAGTACGGTAAATATTCCACTTTATCCACCACCATTGGTTTTTTGGGGGGTTATTTTGCTTTCTTCTAAAGTTTTCTCTACATGATTCAGTGCATGCATTAACTTGTCCAAATTACCGTGAAGTAATTTAGATAATTCTGTTAGTTTGACCAATTCATTGACTAGAATCAACTCAAATTAGTGAGTTATTCACCAGTTGGCCATTGCTATTTCAGACTCTAAATGATGTTTTATTAACAAAGTTCGGGAGGAGCACACGCAGATAATTAACAAGAGTGGAGAGCACTCAGCAATCAATGATAAGAGGCATATATCCTCAGCAGTCTCACCTCTATTCATCGACTGTTTTAGCAGCATCCATCCACCACCCCTTCTCCACACTTCTTGTCCTAACCATTTACATACCGGGGTGTACTCTGGGTACTCTGGGTACTCTCAGTACTCTGGGTTCGGGCCGAATTCCGAGCTCGGAGCCCTTTCCCCGGACAGCACGCCAAATATGCATTAAACTTACTCCCTCTAATTGTATGTAAGTGAGAACTAGTGAAATAGCAGACAGAAAATATGCATCATGTGATCACTGAAATATTGAGTGTTGGTAAAAGCTGGAATACACTACACAACTTCACAAATCTGAACAGATTTTAGATTAACAATACCCAGATGACGCACTGCATATTGTTAAGTGTACAGACAGTGGCAAACACGTTGCTATCACATAATACCATGGAAGCTGAGGAGTCATAAAGCTGAGAAATAAAACATACTTTAAAACTATGAGCTCTTTTCTTACATTCAAGTTGTTCCTTGTGCTTGAATTGTTAAACAACACCCAATAAAGGATTTTCATGTTGGATGTTTTATGTCTTTACACAATGTATTTACAGCATACATGCTACAGAACACTTCATTACCAGTCAAGAAGTTCCTTATCAATGTACTATTATAATGAAAATATGGCAATTCGGATGCTAATGACTGTTTTCAAACAAGTTTCCCTAATGTTTTCAATGTTTAAGGTAGTCCCGCCCCAAACTCACACCATTGGCTCAGGCCGTTTCCAATCTTGATTTATTTATTTATTTATTGACAGGCCTCTCAGTCGGGTCTAATGTTGTTGATTTCTGTCAGGTAGCTATATATGTTATTTATAGTATTAAAACATCACTTAGGCCTACAACTGTGACTTATTTTTGATTTCTTGGCTACACTAGTCAGTCTTGTGACTTTTAAACATCGTAGGCTAAGTAGTTAAGTCAAATATTCAGAGTCAATAAGCCCAGAGCAGTGAAATTCCTGCCTTCTGTGTATTTCCCAGCTAAAGTCAGCCAGGGAAGAGAAAGCTTCGCTCCGCCCCGCGACGGAGCGTGTTTGTCCCGTTACATCAGTGCGCCCACAGGCTCAAACCCGGAGACACGCGGGAGACGCGACGAGGAAAAGTTCCGCGTCCTCGCGTCAAACTGTGAGGGGAAATGTCGAGTGTTTGGAGACCGAAGCGGCTGAACGCGGAGAGAAGGGTTACGCGAATGCGGTGTATCTTTACAGTGAGGTGAGGGAACAGAAAGGCACAACGCGAGCGTTCACCGCTTGGGAAAGGAAGCGTCAACTTTATAAACGTTACAGTGTGACGCGTTTTCACTTCAGTAATGTGGACTGGCAGCGACCGAAAGAAGAAACACTCCTCACAGGGCGAGAGAGAATTGACCAGAGAGCTGCGATATCAACACTTGGATGGATTTGAACCGTGATCGATACATGTGAAAGATGTTTAGCTCACGTGTAACGGGACAACACTCCGCTTCGGTCGCGCGACGTGCACGCGAACGCACTTTGCAGATGTTAGATAATCACAGGCGTCAGTCGTTTGACTCCAAACTGCACTGTATATCAGTTTGAGGAGACTGCTGTTTATGAGGGATCTGCTGTGTTGACTGTGCGATGGCCCTCAGGTCGAGGAGACCGCTGGTGAGCCTCATCGTCGGGGTTTTCCTGGGCTTCACCGCCGCGTCGTGGCTGGTTGTGCCCAGAGTTGTAGAGATCAGTGCGAAGAACAGAAGGTCCTCGGTGTGTTCATACTACAGTAACAGCAGGGCTCAGGCTGAAGTTTCAGACACCTCCTCCTCCTCCTCAACCAGTGGCAGACACAGGCATCTGCAGCCAGTCTTCTCCAGCCAGGAGGGCAGTGATGAAGGGGAAGAGGAGCAGCATGGGACGGGGAACAGCAGTGACAGAGCTGCACCTGAGCCTCAGCTGAACAGCTTCTTGTATGTGGGGGTCATGACGGCTCAGAAGTACCTGTCCTCCAGGGCCGTGGCTGCCTTCAGGACCTGGAGCCCCAGCATCCCGGGCCGGGTGGAGTTCTTCTCCAGCGAGGGGTCTGAGCAGATCCCCCTGCCCACCCCTGTGCCCCTCGTCTCGCTGGCAGGGGTGGACGACTCCTACCCTCCCCAGAAGAAGTCTTTCATGATGCTGAAGTACATGCACGACCATTACTTGGATAAATATGAGTGGTTTATGAGGGCTGATGACGATGTCTACATCAGAGGTGAATAGCTGAAGAGCGAGAGTGAAAAGAGACATTGCTGTGTTGAAGCATTTTGATGCATACATAGCTCTTTGGAAATATTTAACTTTTTTAAATAATGACTGAGTTAAAGTGCCTTTTTCTGGAAAATTATAGAAATAACAAAGTTATGGACGCTTGTAGGGCCATTGAGATTTGCATAGTTCTGGGCAACGATTAATCGCATCCAAAATAAAAGTTTGTGTCTACATAATATATGTGTGTGTAGGCCTACTGTGTATAATTATTTTGTATATATAAATACACACATATCCATGTATATATGTAAGAAATATTTGCATGTATATACTGTATATTTATATATATATATATATATATATTTATATATATATATATACATTATTTATATTATATATTTATTTTATATATAAAAAACACATTTTTCTTAAATATGCATGCATATATGTGTATTTATATATACAAAATAATCATACTCAGTACACACACATATATTATGTAAACACAAACCTTTATTTTGGATGCGATTAATCGTTGCCCAGCACTAATTGTGACATTATTTTAATGACAGTTAAACTTCCCCCAATCTGTTTTTTATGGCAATTCTAACTTGATTTAATTTTTACAGTAAAATAATTCTCTAAATATATAACAATTTAAATGATATAACATTATTTTTTATATATTAGAGTAATCAGAATTTAAATAATGACATGAAAATAATGTCACAATGTTAATAAAAATAATAAACCTGAAAGCAGGCTTCATTTTCTTTATGCAAAATATAATGATTTCTATTTCCGGGGTGAAATATGACCCAGATAGGCTCTTGGTGGTTTTTTGTGAAATTAACCCAGATGATTATCAAATGCAACATATATTTGATATATTCAATCAACATATATTTGGTGAAGACAGTAGTTTTTTTCCTCAATAAAAAGGTTTTACACACAAAGATATGAATAATACAAAAAATCACGTCAAATCCGGATTACAGCTATTTTACATATTTTTATTTCACACGTCATCTAATGTGACAAGACTGTCTATGATGTGTTCTACACTTCATTAGAAATGTTGAGGACGTTAATTATGGTTAATATTAGTATTAGGGCTGCACAATATATCGAAATTATTGAAATATCGCAAATGTATATCGCAACAGCTTGCAATAACTGGGGTCATGAACAAAAGACAGAAAATCACTCACAGGTCTTGATTGAATAACTTTTGTAGCTTTAATAAGAATCAGTATATATTTAATTCATTCAGTAAAGACTAAGCAGTGTTTATTTTTACATTTGATTATTCAGTTTCTGTTGTTAAATAACCCTAATGTAGGCCTATATAAATGAAGATGACTTGACTTTCAGAAGTTGTTGGTATGTTTTCTTCTTATGTTGGTTATATAATTTTAAATACTTTTTAAAGAGAATTAAAGTTTATTTTACACACTTTAAGCATTATCATATCGCATATCGTATTATTTAATGAGTTATCGCATTTCGCATTTTCCTTCAATATCGTTCAGCCCTAATTAGTATGTTTGAGAATATTAGTCATTGAGAGTTTGTGTAAATGTTCCTGCACCTCATGGTTTCCTCCTGTGCTCCCGGCTCCTGCAGGCGAGCGGCTGGAGCTGTTCCTGCGCTCTCTGAACAGCAGTACGCCGCTGTATCTGGGCCAGACGGGGCTGGGCACCACCGAGGAGCTGGGTAAGCTGGCCCTGGAGCCCGGGGAGAACTTCTGCATGGGCGGTCCGGGGATGATCTTCAGCCGGGAGCTCCTCCGCAGGATGGCGCCGCACATCGGGGCCTGTCTCAGGGAGATGTACACCACTCATGAGGATGTGGAGATCGGGCGCTGCGTCAGGCGCTTCGGAGGGACCCAGTGCGTCTGGTCATACGAGGTAACGCCGGTTAACATCCTCATGTGGAATTTGGTTTGAATAGGGTGAATTGTGCTGCTCAATCTTTGAGTCTCTAGAGGTCGAGTTTATCTTAACCTCTTATTACTCCATGTTTATATTCTGCTTTTCTGCTTCAAGACACTACAGGCAGAAACAGTGTTTTTTCATGCATCTGTCAATTTTGGGCTTTTTGGCTTTTCATAAAGTGTTTTTTCAGACTAGTGGAAAGAAAACATCCAAAATACACTTTTAACTGTATCTTTTAGAGCACTTTATCTATTTGTGTCTGTAGATTTCAATTACAGTATCTTTAAAAGCCGTTTTCTCAAAATGAGTTTTTCCTCCTACATTGAGCCAGAAATCTCCACTTCACTAACACTGACTTTACAGGTTTATTCTTATCTATATTCTGAAGGTTTTTCAAATTTCTGATTTGTGCACTGATAAATAGAGAGATCCAAAATCCCCTCTGTAAAAACCTTTGACTCTAATATATATATAAAAAAAATGAAACAAGAATTTTGACTTCATCCAATGTTTAGATTTTTGCTCTAGAAATGCATGCAAATTAGTGCATATTTAATTAGATAATGCCTCATTTGCATATTTAAACATACAATTTTTTGCAATTATTAATGTAATCAATCAACTGGTAAAGTATGGTGATATCTATTAGTTCTTTGTCACCCTATTCACCTGGGATGTCTTGCTTTAAGACATGAGTATGTGCAGGTCAGGGTTAGGGTAGTCTCGCGTGCCAGAGCTTCAGACTGAAGGCAGAAGGTCTGGACTCTATCGCAGCTTTTCTTGGCCAAGGACCGCCCGCCCGAGAGGACGTTTGACTGACGAAACGCAACCAATCACAGTTCGTTTTATTCCGTGTCATGTTTAGTGGCGTGAAAATATAATATCGATGTCCCTACTCTCTACAATAAAAGACTGGCGTGCATCTAATAAATTATTCATTCAGGGAGGTTGTGCAAGTGTACTGCAACAATGAGCCGCGAACTTCACATACTTCTGAAAATCCAGCGTTTCGTTGATCCTGGTAAGCGCTCATTGTCACAGTTGTAAACACAACGGCGTTCTTCTTGAACGAGGGGTTTTCACGACACACACACATCTCCCGGACATCCTGCATAGTTCAACCAATCAGATCACGGCTAAGAAACTCCTGAAATGTTTCCAGAGAGTGTGCCATATGCATCAGGCGTTCAGCCAGCGGTCCGTGAGGCTGAGGCGGAGACTAGGGTTATGCTGGATTGTGTGTCAGCTCAGATTTGTTGTTGCATGCACCACTGTAACATTCCTCTACTTTTAGATGTCTCTTCTGAATATCATTTGCCAGATTACAGTCCAGACATTTTAGCCGACACTCTCAGATGGGTAACTTAAAGTTTGATTTAAAAATGTGGTACACACACATCTGCGATCCAGATAGTAGGGCCCAAATAGCCTTGTGTATGTCTTGATATGCAAGAAGAGTAGGAATGTGGATAGGAAAGGATAAGACCTGATGCCAGCACTTTCATATTGTTTCAACATCAATTGCAAGTTATTGACATTCAAGTAGACCTGGTTTAATTTCATCAGGCTGTTTATTTTGCTTATTTGTAGATATTTAGATATAGATATTTTATACCGAGGTACCAGAGACTTGTATCTAAATTCATTCATAGATGCTAGAAACATAAACCCTTACCTGTTCTTTTAAATATCAGGTTTCATTTGAGTATGAAAATTAATCTGCAGGTTTCTGTCTGTTATTGAAAGTACGAAGACAAATGATGCTATTTTTTGGGCTTTTTAATATGTCAGGCATATTGACACAAGTATTACACCCAGTTTGAGAGGTTGATGTGGAACCAGTTATACTGCATACACACAGTGCTGTGTTGAAGGAGCAGTTGTGTTTTTCTGGGATACTAGTGGTTTGCCACATGACAGACACATACTCCTGCATAACAGTATCTCAACAGAAATGAGTGAACCGGTCTGGCATCCGCCGTGTGTTTATTGCAGCTACCAACTATACGCGGTCTTGGCAAGTGTGCACTTGTCTTTTTTATTTTATTTCTGCCAGTTATTGGATGATATAGTGTCTGTCAGTAAATTATTGAACCCCAGTTCCCCATGTTAAGCTCTGCATCATGAACAGGCATGGACATCCAGCAGGTGTGTGTGTGTGTGTGTTTGAGTATGTACATGCAGCAGGTGTGTGTGTTTGAGCATGTACATGCAGCAGGCGTGTGTGTGTGTGTGTGTGTGAGAGCATGTGCATGCAGCAGGTGTGTGTGTTTGAGCATGTACATGCAGCAGGCGTGTGTGTGTGTGTGTGTGTGTGTGTGAGAGCATGTGCATGCAGCAGGTGTGTGTGTTTGAGCATGATGTGCATGCAGCAGGTGTGTGTGTTTGTTTGTGTGTGTGTGAGCATGTGCATACAGCAGGTGTGTGTGTGTGTGTGTGTGTGTGTGTGAGCATGTGCATGCAGCAGGTGTGTGTGTGTGTGAGCATGTGCATGCAGCAGGTGTGTGTGTGTGTTTGAGCATGATGTGCATGCAGCAGGTGTGTGTGTGTGTGTGAGCATGTGCATGCAGCAGGTGTGCGTGTTTGAGCATGATGTGCATGCAGCAGGTGTGTGTGTGTGTGTGAGCATGTGCATGCAGCAGGTGTGTGTGTTTGAGCATGATGTGCATGCAGCAGGTGTGTGTGTGTGTGTGTGTGTGTGTGTGTGTGTGTGTGTGAGAGCATGTGCATGCAGCAGGTGTGTGTGTGTTTGAGCATGATGTGCATGCAGCAGGTGTGTGTGTGTGTGTGTGTGTGTGAGCATGTGCATGCAGCAGGTGTGTGTGTGTTTGAGCATGATGTGCATGCAGCAGGTGTGTGTGTGTGTGTGTGTGTGTGTGTGTGTGTGTCTGTGTGTCTGTGTGCGTGCGTGTGTGTGTGTGTGTGTGTGTGTGTGTGTGTGTGTGTGTGTGTGTGTGTGTGTGTGTGTGTGTGTGTGTGTGTGTGTGTGTGTGTGTGTGAGCATGTGCATGCAGCAGGTGTGTGTGTTTAAGCATGTGCTTTCACTCTGGCTGCACACCCATGGCTTTGAAGCTGTCATGTGACTAGCTAAGAGCAAAGCATTGTGACAGATTTCTAATCTGCATTCGCATGACTCACAATATCCAAGCGTAGATTTTGCAGTCAGATTTTGTGATGTTTCCAGAGGGACATCCTATACTTTTTTCTGTATACTGCCAGACATTGGTTTTGTGGTAAATTTTTGACTGACAGAACATTTAACCAATGAGAAGACGATTCCTCCAACGTGTGGGACTTTCACATTCCACATGTAGACGTTTAATATAACAGCACTTCTTAACATCATGAAATTGTTCGTAATTATTTTTAAAGGGGGAAAGCAGCGAGTCACGCATTGGTCTCTATTAAGTGAAGCATTGCTTCAGCTTTGCCCAAAAGTGTAGCATTGCTGGCCAGCTGAACCTTGAAAAGTGGAGCTCAAAGTTAAAAAAAATAATTAACGCCTTGTTTCATTACATCTATCATTTAAGGAATCAGCTTTTTTGAACGTTTTCGTTGAATGAACGGTTTAATGACTCACTCAAAGACAGTCCGTTGGCATAACAATGTAACTGCGCGCTGAGTGACAGTCTTTCAATGCGCAGAGACGCTGTTTAGTTTCGGTTACATTGGTTACATTGTTTTTGTGTATGCTGATCACATCATAACACGTATTTATAGCAACAAATAAATATAAATAAATAAATGGCGGTAATACCGCATATCGCGCTATTGAGCCACTCAAAATTACCGCAAGGGAAATTCCTTCACCGCGACAGCCCTAATCAGCAGCCTATGGCACACGGAGGGTTAATTGCTAGCACATGAGCAAAAGAGTGAGAGCGAGAGAGGTGTACAGGTCCTTCTCCAAAAATTAGCATATTGTGATAAAGTTCATATATTTTAGATTCATTGCACACCAACTGAAATATTTCAGGTCTTTTATTGTTTTAATACTGATGATTTTGGCATACAGCTCATGAAAACCCAAAATTCCTGTCTCAAAAATTAGCATATCATGAAAAGGGTCTCTAAACAAGCTATTAACCTAATCATCTGAATCAACTAATTAACTCTAAACACCTGCAAAAGATTCCTGAGGCTTTTAAAAACTCCCAGCCTGTTTCATTACACAAAACCGCAATCATGGGTAAGACTGCCGACCTGAATGCTGTCCAGAAGGCCATCATTGACACCCTCAAGCAAGAGGGTAAGACACAGAAAGAAATTTCTGAACAAATATGCTGTTCCCAGAGTGCTGTATCAAGGCACCTCAGTGGGAAGTCTGTGGGAAGGAAAAAGTGTGGCAAAAAACGCTGCACAACGAGAAGAGGTGACCGGACCCTGAGGAAGATTGTGGAGAAGGACCGATTCCAGACCTTGGGGGACCTGCGGAAGCAGTGGACTGAGTCTGGAGTAGAAACATCCAGAGCCACCGTGCACAGGCGTGTGCAGGACATGGGCTACAGGTGCCGCATTCCCCAGGTCAAGCCACTTTTGAACCAGAAACAGCGGCAGAAGCGCCTGACCTGGGCTACAGAGAAGCAGCACTGGACTGTTGCTCAGTTTTGCATGTCATTCGGAAATCAAGGTGCCAGAGTCTGGAGGAAGACTGGGGAGAAGGAAATGCCAAAATGCCTGAAGTCCAGTGTCAAGTACCCACAGTCAGTGATGGTCTGGGGTGCCATGTCAGCTGCTGGTGTTGGTGCACTGTGTTTTATCAAGGGCAGGGTCAATGCAGCTAGCTATCAGGAGATTTTGGAGCACTTCATGCTTCCATCTGCTGAAAAGCTTTATGGAGATGAAGATTTCATTTTTCAGCACGACCTGGCACCTGCTCACAGTGCCAAAACCACTGGTAAATGGTTTACTGACCATGGTATTACTGTGCTCAATTGGCCTGCCAACTCTCCTGACCTGAACCCTATAGAGAA